AAATAACGTAAAATTAAAAATACAGCTGAGCCATAAAATAGCGCTAGATGGAATCTTTTATTTTAGCTGTGGAAGAACATAAACCAAAATCTAAAGCGTGGCTGTCAGGAGGATCACCAGAATTATCCATTTGAGTGAGGGTTGGAGTGCAGGGTATTCTCTTTCATTGTTCAAACTGAGCTCAACTTCTGATGCATGGAGAAAAGGCCTTCACAAGCCTCTGCTATTGTGTACATAGTTTATACTAAGTGACCCATCGGTTGAGGACGCGATGACCGTTGCGGTGTAGGTGGAAGCAGGGGTGGAGGAGGAGGAGGTAGCCAACACTTTTTTATATATACATATTTTTTTTAATTGGGGTAGCCCCCAAAATATTGGGACATATAAAAAATGAAAACTGTTCCGCAGAGCGACTGACCCGTGCGTACTGCATCTGAAACTCCACTATCGCCTGATGCTGCTCGCACAGTCTCATGAGGCGATGAGTGGGAAGGCCGAAGTTACGCTGCAGCGCAGACAGGCGAGCACTTCTGCAGCAGCTCTGATATATCTAGGTATACACAGTGGCGGTGGAGGTGGAAGCGGTGGTGGAGGAGGCAACAAGAGGCAAAGCTGTGTACCCAAATAAAGATTGTCAAACGTTGAATCCTGGAACTGTGTCCCATCCAGTTACTGGGGAAATGGGTCTGACTTATTCTAATCAAATGGGATAACCATAACCATCTGTTACCGAGGTCCCGCTTCAATTGGTGGCAAGCGGCGGGATCCCATGTCCCTGCCAACAGACCCATGGACTGCAGTAATCTAAAGTGACCTACACTACAGGACTTGTATTTGGCCGAGGAATACCGCCTGGTGGGCGTAACAAGGCCAAATTGACTGCTGAGCTGATGGAGGACGACCAGGCATGCAGTGAGGCAACGAACCCCAGCCAGGGGCCGGAGATGAGGAGGAAGTGCGCAAGGAGGTGGAACAGTGCCTGGCATATTACCGAGAGCCACCCTCAGAGGAGATTGTCAGCAGGACCTTTTTTGGAGGTGCAATCCTATGTCCTTGCCAATAGACAGAGGGCGACCTCCATGAACCCAGATGAAGGAAGAAGGGAGCAGAGGGCGCCGGGAAGCACAACCACCCTGGCCCACAAGCTACAATAGAATGCCTTCAAAGACTTCAAGGAAGCAGAAGAACGCATCAATTACATTTTACAAGACATTGAGCGCCGGTGCCTACTCCAAGACGTGGACCCTAGCGACTGGGTCACCATCCTGGCCAGCAAACTACAGGGAGTGCAGAATTATTAGGCAAATGAGTATTTTGACCACATCATCCTCTTTATGCATGTTGTCTTACTCCAAGCTGTATAGACTCGAAAGCCTACTACCAATTAAGCATATTAGGTGATGTGCATCTCTGTAATGAGAAGGGGTGTGGTCTAATGACATCAACACCCTATATCAGGTGTGCATAATTATTAGGCAACTTCCTTTCCTTTGGCAAAATGGGTCAAAAGAAGGACTTGACAGGCTCAGAAAAGTCAAAAATAGTGAGATATCTTGCAGAGGGATGCAGCACTCTTAAAATTGCAAAGCTTCTGAAGCGTGATCATCAAACAATCAAGCGTTTCATTCAAAATAGTCAACAGGGTCGCAAGAAGCGTGTGGAAAAACCAAGGCGCAAAATAACTGCCCATGAACTGAGAAAAGTCAAGCGTGCAGCTGCCACGATGCCACTTGCCACCAGTTTGGCCATATTTCAGAGCTGCAACATCACTGGAGTGCCCAAAAGCACAAGGTGTGCAATACTCAGACATGGCCATGGTAAGAAAGGCTGAAAGACGACCACCACTGAACAAGACACACAAGCTGAAACGTCAAGACTGGGCCAAGAAATATCTCAAGACTGATTTTTCTAAGGTTTTATGGACTGATGAAATGAGAATGAGTCTTGATGGGCCAGATGGATGGGCCCGTGGCTGGATTGGTAAAGGGCAGAGAGCTCCAGTCCGACTCAGACGCCATCAAGGTGGAGGTGGAGTACTGGTTTGGGCTGGTATCATCAAAGATGAGCTTGTGGGGCATTTTCGGGTTGAGGATGGAGTCAAGCTCAACTCCCAGTCCTACTGCCAGTTCCTGGAAGACACCTTCTTCAAGCAGTGGTACAGGAAGAAGTCTGCATCCTTCAAGAAAAACATGATTTTCATGCAGGACAATGCTCCATCACACGCGTCCAAGTACTCCACAGCGTGGCTGGCAAGAAAGGGTATAAAAGAAGAAAATCTAATGACATGGCCTCCTTGTTCACCTGATCTGAACCCCATTGAGAACCTGTGGTCCATCATCAAATGTGAGATTTACAAGGAGGGAAAACAGTACACCTCTCTGAACAGTGTCTGGGAGGCTGTGGTTGCTGCTGCACGCAATGTTGATGGTGAACAGATCAAAACACTGACAGAATCCATGGATGGCAGGCTTTTGAGTGTCCTTGCAAAGAAAGGTGGCTATATTGGTCACTGATTTGTTTTTGTTTTGTTTTTGAATGTCAGAAATGTATATTTGTGAATGTTGAGATGTTATATTGGTTTCACTGGTAATAATAAATAATTGAAATGGGTATATATTTGTTTTTTGTTAAGTTGCCTAATAATTATGCACAGTAATAGTCACCTGCACACACAGATATCCCCCTAACATAGCTAAAACTAAAAACAAACTAAAAACTACTTCCAAAAATATTCAGCTTTGATATTAATGAGTTTTTTGGGTTCATTGAGAACATGGTTGTTGTTCAATAATAAAATTAATCCTCAAAAATACAACTTGCCTAATAATTCTGCACTCCCTGTAGTGGGGAAGGCAGCGGATATTTACTGGGCTGTACCACAATAGCAGATCAGAGACTATGCCTTTATTACACAAATCCTCCTGGCCCGGTATGCGGTCACCCCCGAGCAATACCACCAAAGGTTTAGGGAGACCCGGAAAGGGGAAAAGGACTCCCATGCAGAGTCGGCATGCCGCATCACAAGGGCCACCCAGAACTGGCTCAACTCCCATCAAGTCAAGTTACCGGAGGAGATCACCCAGCTCGTCATGCTAGAGCACTTTTTCAATGGGCTCCCCAATGACAAGGCGACGACGCATTCATATGTCAAGACATATCAACTTTCGATGCCATTTACTGCACCTACCATGGTGACCACGGGTAATGGGGAATCAGGGTTCGATTCCGTACAGGGACCCTGACAAACGGCTACCACATGCATGGAAGGCCGCAGGCGCGGAGTGACGACAAATAACAATACAGAACTCTTTAGAGGCCCTGTAATTGTAATGAGTCCACTTGAAATCCTTTAACTCTGATCAATTGGAGGGCAAGTCTGGTGCAGAGCGACTGACCCGTGCGTGCTGCAGCTGAAACTCCACTATCATCTGCTGCTGCTCGCACAGTCTCTCCAGCATGTGCAAGGTGGAGTTTCACCTTGTGGGCACGTCGCATATGAGGTGGTAAGCGGGAAGGCCAAAGTTACGCTGCAGCGCAGACAGGCGAGCAGCAGCAGGGTGAGAACTTCGAAAGCACGCACAGCCGCTACAGTGAATGTCACATCCTGTTCCAAGTTGCGGATCAGTCTGGTGATGGCTTCTGGTATCCAGTACTCTTTTTACTCAAGCGGCATCAAGGTCCTGGTATGTGGCTGCACAAACGCTGGTGCTAAACACCAGGGGGCGTGCGGTTACCCTGCACCAGACCCTGCTAATCCATTCCACACTGTGACTCCTAACTTCAACATCAGGCATACTGGGTCCCGGTCATCCGACTGCCGCCCAGACAGTGTCTGGGTCCCGTTCACCGGACTGCGAAACTGTGAATGGCTCGTTAAATCTGTTATGGTTCTTTTTATCACTCCATCTGTAACTTGGATAACTGTGGGAATTCATACATGCCGACGAGCGCTAGGGGACAGCCACTCCGCTTTTGCACCCTGCTGCCTCTTATGCTGTGCTGGTGCCTCTGTGCGACCAGCGCCTCTTCCTCCAAGCTGCACACGTCACTCGCATGACCTTGATTCTATGTGGGGTCTAGGACCTCATCATCCTCCACATCATCTTCCACCCACTCCTCAACCCTGCCCTCATTGCCGGTCTGCACACTGCAGAAAGCCACAGCAGTTGGCACCTGTGTTTTTCCAGCATGTAAAGTCTGCAAAGAAGATATTGAAATTGTTTTAGAATTGTATCCAGGCAACAGTTTTCCCTATAAATTGACCTCTCATTTTGACTTGTGAGGGTATTGCACCCGAATTACAATATTGTAAAAATTGGTATTTGATGTTTCTATTTTACTCTCAGATATTAAGAGCACGCCCAAAATGTACTATTTAGCAGATTAGCACCCAGAAAATAAGAATTTTTACAACTGTGCTGTAAGCGCACTATTTGACGCTTCTATTTGACTCTCAGATATGAAGAGCAGCCCAAAATGTACTATTTAGCAGATTAGCATCCAGAAAATAAGAATTTTTACAACTGCGCTGTAAGCGCACTATTTGACACTTCGATTTGACTCTCAGATATGAAGAGCAGGCCCCAAAATGTACTATTTAGCATATTAGCAGCAAAACAATAAGAATTTTTACAACTGTGCTGTAAGTGCACTATTTGACGCTTTGATTTGACTCTCAGATATGAAGAGCAGGCCCCGAAATGTACTATTTAGCAGTTAAGCAGCAAAATAATTAGAATGTTTACAACTGCGCTGTAAGCGCACTATTTGACGCGTCTATTTGACTCTCAGATATGAAGTGCACCCCACTTATGTACTTTTTAGCACCCAAAAAAATTTAAGTTTTAAAACTGCAATGTGACAGCAGTATTTGACACTTCTATTTGACTCTCAGATATGAAGTGCACCCCACTAATGTACGTGACTCCAGCTTATATATAGAGGCTGGTCACATGCTGCACTGGGCAATCACAGCCATGCCATTAGTAGGCATGGCTTTGATGGCTTCTAAGTGCACACGAGTCAAACGCTGGTTGATTGGCTGCCCTGCAGTCTTTCAAAACACGCCAAAAAATGTAATGTTTGTTATGAGCAGAATTTCAATTTACTGCAATAATTATACAATACAAGACTACAACATATTACTTACAAAAGGCTAGAACAGCTGCTAACATGTTTCAATGGAATCACATGGTACAATTCAAAACATGAACAAACTTCACAGGCCCCAGCCTGTGGAGTTGGGCCATCAGCTGCTACATTCTTAGGCAGTCAAGGGCAGGGCAAAAGAAAGAGACTGACTGTTTCAAAAGAAACCTGAATGCCTCCTACAATCTGGTTTTTATTCAGTGTTTCTGTTTTTTATTTAGTGACATCAGCCTGTGATGTCACTTCCGGAAGCACATGGATTCCTACACAATGTCCCTAGTGGTGCCTCGAAAGCATTACACTAACTATGCTTTATTTATGATGTAAAGTCATTAATTAATAAATGCCATTACAAGGTGCCCAAAATTGCACAGCATATTCAAAATGTGGTCTTACCAGTGATGTATAAAGAGAATGATGAATGGCTGAGAATGAATGCATTTTTTATGCATGACAATACCATATTGGCCTTAGCCACTGCTGATTGACATTGCACATTGTTACCTTAAAAATGTTCTATTTAAAAAAAAAAAAAAAAAGAATTTGTCCAAAAGTGCATCTAATCAAATTCAGTATTGTCCAGCAGAGATATGATTTGAAGACACATACAGAAAGAGCATGTTCCAGCTCAACAATGGTGAGATGACAGCTTTTGAATGCTTGATAGGATTTCTAAATTCTAATAAAATTGTAAAAATATTAATTGATGTAAAGCTGCTCACATGCATCATCTGATGCCAATTTCTCTACAGGCAAATTCAAATTAATAAATATGCACATGTGTATGCTGTGTCTTCAAATTAATTGGAACCTTTCAATGGCCTTCTTGAGAGCCACGAGGGTGACATTTATTGTCACAGTAATCAATATTTTCCCTAATTCTTTATATAAATAAAAAAAGGCTGTACCATAAAAAAATCTACTAGTATTTCTTATAAGGGTGCCTAAAAAAAGTCAGAGATATATAAACTAAATGTACATATTCATATATTTTTTTATCCAATGCAAAACATCTGTTAAAGACAATCCATAGATGACTAAATCCTCAGAATAATATTTTCACCTTGATGGAATATAAAAGACATAATACGGGGGGGGGGACGTGGCCTGGCAGCGCACGAACATGGACGCGAAAGCTCCCAGCTCCGACGAGGGTGATCAATTACTCAGCGAGTAGACGAGCCTGAATTGCCTAATTCAGCCAGATATCGTAGTGGTAAGCGGCAGAGACACACAATGTCCTAACGGACAACAAAAAAACCTAAATTGCGCCAGTCAGAGCTGCAAATCCAAGTGCTCACGCCACCCAGGAACCGGGCCCAAGATGGCGGCGACGGTCCCACATCCCCAGCAGCATGCTCCGATTGGAGCGACAGCACCTCTATTTCCTTGGGGAATTTGGCACCGGCCTCTGAATCCTCCCTGCACAGAATGCTGCAGGAGCTGCAGCACAACTTACAAAATGAATTCAGTAAGCTAGCCAGAGATGTTAGGGCTGATGTTAAAGCCATAGGGGGGGCACAAATATCCTAGAAGTAAAAACTGAGGAAATCATAGAAGCTCATAACAACTTGGTAGAGGCCTATGACTCCTTTGGAGCTAAAATCGACCTCCTGTTTACAAACGTGGCGGACCACGAGGACCGCAACAGAAGAAACAATATACGCCTGCGGGGCATACCGGAGGATATTAAGTCAGCAGAACTACAAGATTTCACGATAAAATTATTTCAAATAATGTGTCCGGATCTTCCAGAAGCAGACCTGCGCCTGGACCGTATACACCGGCTTGCCAAGCCACGATTCCTTGCAGCCTCCATGCCAAGGGATGTACTCACTAGGGTACATTATTTTACCTCCAAAGAATGTATCATGAAAGCAGCAAGATATAGGGATGGCATCCCAGAAGAATATGCTGGCATACAGTTCTTCACAGATTTGTCGGCCACGACGCTAGCTAAACGCAAGGAAATGGCACCGGTCACTAAAGCGTTGAGGAGCGCTGACATACCTTACAAATGGGGTTATCCCACTCGAATCATTGTCAAGAGGAACAGAGTGGAGCACCAAATCCATAATTCCAGCGCAGGCATCCAAATGCTCAAGGAGTGGAACCTACCCGTCGCACCACAAGAGACCGCAGACCCACCTAGCAAGCAACGAAAATCGCCTACAAAAGTTTCAAAGGACTGGATATCACTACCTAAACGCAAATGACATGGACAGAGCCATAAGGAAAGAGAGAGAAGGACAGACGTGGAAGAAAAGACAGAGGCGGGAAGAGAAGAGGAGAACAAAACCGGCAAGAGAGAACAGAAAACAAAGAAAAGAAAGTAGGGGAAGGGAAGGGAAGGAGAGAGGAAGAAGGAAGGGAAAGGAGGAAAAAAAAAAAAAAAACGGACATCCTAGTGGTTGCCATCTCTACCATGGACCTGGGTCACAGTCGTAGAGGCACGTGAGCATATACATATTTGATAGCAGAAGTCAACCTGTTATGTGAAATGCCAATGTCCTGATATGTGTTTTTTTTTCTTCTCTTTCTTGTTCTTTTTTCTTTTCAATATGTTCTCTTAATTGTTGCCTCAATGTCACCTTAACAGACAGGAATGTTATGGTTAAGCGTAGCAGTGTATGTAGCCACCTTGCCTAGCATTCACATCACCCAACTACAATAGGCAAGGAGATAATACAGGGTTATTGGGCAGTTCCTTAAGCCTTAGTACACCCTCCCCCATTTTGGCTCCATAGAGCCGCGGGATCACTTCTCGGTTACGGATGGAAAACGTCTGTACTCCATGTTGTATATAGTTGCCACTTGGCTCCCTACCCTCCTCCCCCGTCTTCCTCCCCACGCCTCATTTGTTTCAGGGTACCCGCCAGAAGCGTCCTTGACTGTGCAGGAAAGGACAAGGCGATACACCTCGCCTATTGCTGTACGCATACCAAGACAAGGTCATAAAGATACACTACTAAATTACAACCTGGTGCGAAATATGCACAAAAAGATTAGGGAAAGCATCACTATATCACATAAATGGCTCTAACAATTTTTTCGCTCAATACCAAAGGGCTTAATTCACCACATAGCCCTAAATGAAGCAAAAAAATTGCGAGCTCAAGTAGC